GTCTTTAAATAGCAGTCAGACACCAGACTCAAGCCACTGTCTAAGAATCAAAAGGGGATGCATTTCAAGTAAACAAATATGTTTAAGGTATTTACTGTTAGGCACTGTGCCGAGTACTGGGAGAGAATAAATAGCATGCACTTTGTCTCTGTTCATGAAGCTTATGAAGCTAATAGTCTGGGAAGGACAGATATGTCTTTGTAAGGGCTAGATATGTGTAAAAGAAAGGCAGATATAGGTGTTCATATAAAAACTCAAGGAAAATGAGAAAAACATTAAGAATCACAGTTTTCGTATAGGGTGGGGCAAAAGTAGATTTATAATTGTGAGTGTGCCAAGCAAAGTTTGTTGTTTATTATTTATTATTGTATTATTTTTCCATATGAACTACTATAAACCTACTTTTGCCCCACCCTGTATTTCAAAAATAAAACTAACATATTTTCCGGTACATTCCCTGTTCACCCCATTTGTACCTTATCTGGTTGCAATTATTAGCCCCTTCTGTGCAGGGACAGAAAGGCTCACCAACTACTGCATATGTGCCCCTATTGCTTGGAGTCTTTGCAGTTAGAGAACTGATGTGACCACTGGAGAATGAGCAGAATCACGGAAGAGCAGGAATGAGTTCTGCAGTCTTGCCCTACCAACATGAATACCAAGGGCTTGTGTTGAGGTAGTAAATCTATCAGATCAAAGTAGCCTAGAGATATAAACCAGGTGAATGGAAGCCCTGGGGAGTTGCCCCAAGCAACAGGCAGCTTTACAGGGTAAAAAATAAACTTTGGCTGTTTAAAAAACAAAACAAAAAAACTGTTGCATTGCTGTTAAAAAATCTTTTGTTAAAATAACCTGTCCTACCCTAATATACCATCTCAATAAACAAAAAAAAATGTTCTGAATCATAATTAAGAGTTTAATACGAGTTGGTTTGCATTCATTTGGCAAATACCACTGACCACTCACTATGTGTTTGGCACTGCTTCAGGTGCTGAGAATATCATGATGCAGAGGAGAGTGCCCTGCGGCTATAAGGAACTTGCTGTTTTACTGGGGAAGACAATGACATTTTCAGGCAGTGATAAATGTAACAAAGAAATAATGATCTTACCTCATGATAATGCCCCATTTTCACAAAGTCTCACCTCTCTCATGTCCTTATTTTCCTCCCTACTCAACTCAGATCCCATGTGCCATCATGTTTATTGCCCTGCCCACATCCTCACCTCACTTACCCTTCTCTCCTGTCTTCATATTTGCCTGGCAAAATCCTAATCTGATTAAACCCAAATCTTTGCCATCTTCACACCTACTCCTGAGTAGCTGAATTTGGCTGGAGAAAAACAATAACCCTGACTGATCTCACTTTGACTTCACAGCCACTATTCTCACTTGGCCCTCCCTACGGCTTCTTGGCAACCATTTGATATTCCCTAACCTATCCATCTCTTTTTCTCCTAGTGAACTAGCTCACATTTCCTTGCTCCTGAAACTTCCAACACTCCTCTCCCAAACTCACTCATTGTCAGCGAGTTTGCTCCTGATTTCACTGAGAAACTTAGTGGAATAAGGTCTTCTACAACTCCCATTACTTCTGCCAGCCTCCACCCAGTGCTGGTACCTGTATCCTCCATGTTTCCTCTTGTTATTGTGTAAAAACTAAGAACGACTCCTCCATTTACGCACTATATTCTGTCCTGTCTCATCTCCTGTGGTAAACATGGAAATGTGCAACAGTTCCAGATCCCCCATCAAGGAAGGACCTGCTGCTCAGTTGCAGAGCCTAGAGTCAGCAGCCTCCATCTGTCAGCTCTGTCAGGGTCTGCCACAGCTGTGCAGTACCTCACCTGAGGCCATGCCCTTTCCACGGCAGCTTGCATGCAGTGACTGAGCAAGGCTGGAGTATAAAAGCCAGCCAGGCAGGACACTCAGAATAGCAGTACTCATTCCAAAGCTCCCCACGGGGCAGGCTGAGGCTGTGTCAGGTCTAATTCACAGTTGGACTTCTTCCTCTGTCCAACCCCACTTCCTACCCTCTTCCTTTCACAGGTACTGATCCCTAATAAATATCTGGCACCTCAAATTCTGCTTTGGCATCTGTTTGCTTACAGAGAACCCAACTTGACACACCTACCACCACCACCATACGTTGCTTGTCTGCAGCTATTTCTACCCACCATCTTTCATAATTTTTCCCCTCTTAACTGATTAATTCCCATCATCCTATTAACATACAGTAATATCTTCCTTCCTCAAAGCCAAACTCCCTTTGAGCTATCTGTTTTTCTGCTGCCCTGAACATCAAAATTCCTGAAAAGAGTGTCTGAATTCATTCCTTGCCTACATGTCTCTCCTTCATATTCACCACCCACAGAAATAGCTGTTGTCAATCTCAGATAACTCATCATTGTTATGTCAATAGTCAATTCTCAGTTCTCATCTCACCTGAACTTTTAGCAGCTTCTGACCCTGTTAATCACCCTCTCCCTCTTAGACACTTGTTATTCATTTGGCTTCTAAGACCCAACTTTCACTTGATTCTCTTCCCACTTCACTGGCTACAGTTGCTCCTACTCCTGTCTTTTGCTGGTTCTTCTTCCTCTCCTGGTCCTCTAAGCGTTGAAGAGCTCCAAGGTATAATCCTTATCTATACCAGTGTTTACTCTTATATCAATCTTATCCAGTTTCAGAATTTTAAATACATGTATATATTGACAACTGAGAAATTTATACCTTGAGTTAGAGCTTCCTCTTCTGAATGCCAGACTGTCACATCCAGCTGACTATTCTGGGTCTCCATTTAAAGGCTAACAGTAATCTCAAACTTTACGTATCTGAAACAAAAGAGCTGATTCCCTTCTTCATCACCCATCCCTGCCCCCGCCCCGGCCCCCCACATCCCACAAAGCCCTGCATCCCCTCCCCAACTCCTGAGGTCTTCCTCATTTCAGCAAATAGCTACTTGGTTCTTCTGGTTATTGAATCAAAAATTCAAAGTCATTATTAACTTCTCTCTCATGCTCCACATCCCATACTTCACAGAATTCTTCAGGATATGTCCAGTCTTCACTGCTCTACTTTACTCAATATGTCTTTTCAGATATCTATTAACAAGATCTTCCTAAATTATCAAATACGTAAAATAAAATCCCATTCGCCCTACTGGCACTTACTATTTTCTTTACCCGGCTTTAGTTTACAACATAGCCACTTGTTTATTGGTTCATTGTCTCCACTAGAATGTAAGCTAGAAAATGGCCAAGACTCAGTCCTGCCTTCTGGCTTCCTAGTGATGAGCAGAGAGTAGGTGCTCAATACATTTTGAATGAATGAATGAACGAATGAGTGAGTGAAAAACAATGGGAAAGGAACAGTGATAGTACTGAGGGAGGAGAAGCACTTAAGCACAGAGCTAAATGATGTGAAGGTGGAAATCATCTGAAGATTCTGAGTGAAAAGCAGTCCCAGCAGAAGAAAAGTGAGAAGTTGAAGGGTAGGAATGAGCTTGGCTTTGTGGGGGAACCCGAAGGCTTGTGTGGCTGAAAGGGCTGTGTTGGAGAGATGAGATCAAGATTGTCAACAACTGAACTACGTAGGACCTTATAAACCACTGTGTTCTGAATTTTATTCCAAGTATGAAGAAAGGCATTGCAGAGTTTTAAGCACAGAGTACCCAATCTGCTTAAAACACCACCACCTTGGCTTCTGTGCGACTGGCTGTGCTAAAACCCAAGCATAAGGACCGGATTTGAATGGCATCAGTGAAGTGAGAAATGGTATAAAATTTGAGGGTAGAAGTGACAAGATTTCCTTATGTTTTCAGTAGGTGCGCAGAAAAGAAGAGAGAGGATTCAGAGAAAATGTCCAACTTTTGCCCTCCAACCGAGTCCGTTCAGGCAAATTTTTTTTTTATTTGGATGGATCATACTTCTGTTAAGTTGGGCAGCTCGTGGTTTAGGAGTTTGGAAGAATGAAGGGAATCACCCATAGAAAGGGACAATATTGGGGGGAGCAGCAGATATATTGCTTCGATTTTTGAAATGTTGAGTTTGAAATGTTTCTGTGGAGCTGGTTTAGAACTCCGGGAGAACTCTGGACTGGGCGATACCTTATTTCCTCTATTAGAACGCACATACGCACACACACTCACAATTTCCTCCTACATTTACGGGTCTGAAAACCTATTTGTCTGTGGTGACATGAACTTCCGACGTGCCAGGCTCCTGTTCCTCACGCTGCACCTCCAGGCGATTGGTCCTCAGAAACACAGCAGCCTCGGGAGTCATCCCCAGAACCTAAACGGGATCGCTCATTTCTGTGAAATACTGTAGACAGCCACTCCGCGATTTGTCAACTTCTCTACCACCACTGCCCAGCCCCGTCCCAGGCCCCGAGACTGCGCTTCCTCTTTTCCGGGTCCGAGCGGTGGACGCGATCCCTCCGCAGGCCCCCCAGCGTCCTTCCGTCCAGCTCCTCCGGGACACCGCCAGCCCGCCGGACGCCGCCTGGAGCGGGTAGGAGCGCTCGGCCCCTCCGCCCGCCGCAGGGCGACCCCTCGCAGCCCCGCCCCACCGTGTCCCCGGGTTTCCCGCGGAGGCGCCCGGCCTGCCGCGCCCGGCCTGCCCCCTCCTCCCCGACCCGCGCGCGCCAACTCCCAGCCCGCGGTCCTGATTGGCCACCGCATTCCCGCTTTCTCGCCCGAACCGCCATTTTGAAAATCTTGTTGATTCTGGGGAGCTGAGAGCGCCGTGCGAACGTCACGCCAGACAGCGTCCCGCGCGCCTTCTCCTCGGCGCCCGCCGCAGCATTCCGGAGCCTTTTTGTGCCCGGCGCGCCAGGCTCGCGGCGGCCAGGACCAGCGGTGAGGGCCGCTTCGGGGACGAGAAGCCACTGGGCGCTCGCTGCAGGGCCCGCCCGCTCCGCCGCGGCCATTTGGACCGCGGCCTGGGGCGGGGGAGGGGATACGGCGCGGCCCGGCGGTGGGAGGGGCGGCTCGGCCCTTCGCGAATTCCCGCTTCGGGGATTCCGGGGCTTCGGAGTGAGCCGAAGGGAAGCTGCCCGGGGGAGGGAGCTTCGCTGTTCGCGCTACGGAGGAGCAACTTTGAGGTTGGGTTTCCCGCGGTCCCTGCTCCTGGGGCTGAGGAGGGTCGGGGTAGTGGCGCGGGGCTGCCCCATCCTTCCCGCGTGGGGCGAGGAGAACGAGACGCCTTGCTTCCTTCCGTCCGCAGGTGGACAGCATGTCCTCCTCGGGCCCTGCTGCGGAGGGAGAGGAAACAACTGACCATCCTGCGTCCGAGAAAGAACCCGAAATTTCCGGCCAGAGAGAAGAAAGTGAGGACGAGGAGGAGGACGAGGAAGAGGACGAAGAAAAGGGTGGGAAGTCCTGTCCCCTAAGTGATGGATCTTATAGAAAACAGTTTCCTCGCTCTTTTTGCGCTTAGAGGCACTAAATGGGATTGATTTCTAGCAGGAATGCAAAGTTTATGTTTTTGTGTTGAGCAGTAGCAGAAAATTAACTTTGGGAATTCCAGTGTTTAAAAAATAATACTCGTAAGCATTGTTACTGCATTACTTGGGAGTGCAGTTCATATATTTTAATATACTTTCATCATATACCTTCAGTATACTTTCATAACACTTCATCAGTTGACAGGAAGTTTGTTAAGTTTCAGATCTGTTTTTAAAACTCAACCTTTGTAGGTAATGTTTTATTTTAATCTTTTGATGATTTAAGCACACATCTTTTACTTTATGATGTAATTGTAATGTCTTCTATAAAACGACGCACTGAGCTATTGTTATTCCTGGAAATACTTTGTTTACCAAACTTAAGCAGAGGTCCTTTTAAAAGGCGTAGGGGAGTAACCTTCATGGGGGAAAACACCGGTGAAAGCTATTGCTACTTGAGAAAGTCTGTAGTTAAATATGAAAGCGGTGAGCTATGAAATAGCTCACTGCCTTTTCGGTTTTGGTGTTGAGGGCGAGCATTTCAAACCATTTGACTGGAGACATGAAACAGAAGCAGCTTGCAGAATTAAGGGATGGCACTGTATCAGTTTATCCGGAGCGGAGGAGGCAGTGCCATTTTGAAATGGGTCAGCTTCCTAGGATGTTTCTGACCACTTAAAGGTCCGTATCAGAGGTGCATTCTTTGATGATACTAGCCCAGTCTAGGTTTGCTTACAACTCAGCCAAATTTGGGAAAACGTTTTAAGTTTTCTTCCCCACAGCAGATTTAACAGTTAATTTCTTTTAAGCCAAAAATCAGTCCATGGTAAGCATTTTATAAATACTATTTCGGTTGCGATTACACTGAATGGTATGCCTTTTGTTTGTTTCAATTGGTAGGTGCTTTAAGAATGGAGCATGACCACATTTCAGCACAAAAATGCTTAGAAAAGTTATTTTTTAAAATTGTCATTTAGACAGTAACAAGACTGGATGCAGTATCTGCTAGTGTAAGACTTTCAAAACACACTTTTTCCTCCAGGCTTTTGTTATTAATTTTTACAGTCTTTTTAAAAGACAGGGTTTGGATACCACTGAGATGGTGAATTTCAACATAAAAATTGTTAAAAAAAATACTCCCAAGCAGTTTGTAGTTGTTCCAGTTTATATTTTCCCTCATTCTAAAATTCTGAACATTTTATCCTATTTAGCCCTGAAAATTTAAGTCTGCTACTGAGGCATAAAAGAAACAAGGCAGTGAATTCTGTGCCAAATAGGGGATGGAACTGGTTTATCTTAGCAGAGGTTGGGGGATGTCTGGTAAAAGATGACTCCTAGATTTCTGCCTGTGGCAGCTGGGTCAATAATATTACTGTTTTCTAAAAGATAGAGTTCGTGACAGTGAGTGAGATTGGAAATGATTATAACTTGTTTTGGATGCATTGGGTTAGGTACCCACAGGACATGAATGGAGCTGTCCAGTTGGCAGCCATGTTGAAACTCAGATTGGGGGAAACTCTGAACTACAGATAGACCAAGAAAATTATTAGCTGGTAGGTGGTAATCTAACTCAAGTAAATGGTTTAAATCACTCAGGGAAAGGAAGCAAAACAGGTTGCTTTTGAGTGCTTTCTCTTTACACCATTGCCAAAATATACCTGCTATAATCCCTTTCTCTTAATACTTTCAGGGCAGACCCTTACATCTCCAAATTTTAGCTGTCCTTCAAAGCCAGCTCCAGTGTTTTGATCCTTTTTCCCTAATCCAAAAACAATTACTCTTACCTCAACTTTCAGAACTTTTATTTGTGTCTTTAGGAAAGGCATTTATCTACTTTGGAGTACAATATATGTGTCTCATTACCCTCCAGGTAAAATCTAAAAGAGATAGTCAATGTCTTAATCATCTATTCAGTCTCCCTTAGTATCTTGTGCAGCTTTGCACAAAAGAAGCATTTAGTTAAATGATTGGAAGCATCTGCAATGATACTATATACAGTTTGCTGTTCTTTATCTGACTTTATCTCAGAAACTGGGTAAAGTGGTTTTAGGAAATGAGGCTTAGTGTTTTAAGTATATTTTCAAGCTTTTTTTAAAAAGCAGTCTGGACTAAATAGTTTAATATTTTAATGATTTATTATTATAATTGTGAATATAATTTATTATACTACAAAGCAACACAAATGCCCTCCCAGTTGATTGCAGTAAATGTAAACTTTTAGAATTTTATCCTATCCATAGTAACTCCAGGCTGCTTTGCCTCACTTAAGGTCTTTTTTTTTTTTTCTTTTTTTTAAACGTCAGCCTACTAAATTACTGCTTATCTCTATATGGCTTTTGAAGTTCTTATAATCTTATTTCTTAACTTTTTGAGGTACAGTAAATTGAATTCTAATTAATAGAATTACATCTAATCAAAGAATAAGCTAAGTGAGGGCTTTGGTGATTTTTCACAAACTGACTGGACTTTCATAGCAATAATTGTAGTTGGATAAAAGTTTGTTTGCTTTCTGATTTTTAAAAAAATTTGGATGCCTTTGAGGTTGCCAGGTAAGTATACTGTTCTAAAAAAAAAAAATCGATGTTGCTGTTGACCAAGTATTTTCATACCTGTTATGTTAATTTTCTTCTCAAAAATCAGTTGACGGGAAGGGTAGGGTATTAGGTTTCTGTGGTTATTTTCTACATGTTTATCCAGTAAAAAAATATTCTTTAAGCTTTTTGTCATTTAAGAAGTATTAAATTAATTTCTAGAAAAGAGTCTCATCGTGGAAGGCAAGAGGGAAAAGAAAAAAGTTGAGAGGTTGACCATGCAAGTCTCTTCTTTACAAAGAGAGCCATTTACAATTGCACAAGGTAAGTTTATTCTATGTTCCTTCATTTGATGGTGAAAATGCCTAAAATATACAAAATGATGTTCAGTAGTGCTTAGTTTTTAACTAAGTAGTTTACCAATGTATTATTGTTATTTTAATTTGCCCCATTAGAGCAAAATTTATGTAAATTATGATCTAAAAATAATTTTCATGAAATTAACTTTGTAAATGTATAAACATGTAATGGTATTCAATTTCATTATTACAATATTTTTTGCTAGGAAAGGGGCAGAAACTTTGTGAAATTGAAAGGATACATTTCTTTCTGAGTAAGAAGAAAACAGATGAACTTAGAAATCTACATAAACTGCTTTACAACAGACCAGGCACAGTAAGACCTTTTTTATAGCTTCAATGTTTTATCAAAAGATATGTAGCTTGGTATTAACAATTAGGATTGCAATATCCAGGGGTCTTTCTACTGAAGTTATTTTTATGCCAAACTGAAATGTCAGATTGTGATGACTTTAGTGATTTTTTAATTGTATAAGAAGTTATAAAAAATTTTAAAAAAGAGAAATTATATTTTGGGGCTTTTTTAGTCATTCAGAATAAATGATACAGTATAATTGTATATTATTTTGAGCAAATATCTGATAAATTAGGTGGTACTTCCTTGCCAATAGATTTGTTAAAATACATCAGTTTTATTTACTGAATTATTTTACAGTAGTCTCCCCTTACCTGTATGGGATATATTTTATGAACCCTATGCATACTATAAACTTTGTTATAGGTGTGTATAGGAAAAAACAATTTAAGCATAAGCAGTATTAACCATAAGCAGTATTGAAATACTGCTTCAGAGATTAATACCACAGAGATTAACCATAAGCAGTATTGAAATAGAACAATTATAATAATATACTATAAAAAAAACTATAGGAATGTAATCTCTCTCAAAATATCTTATTGTACTGTATGGTACTCATCTTTTCACTTAAAGGAAGCACTTTATGGCTTCTCTGGGCATATCTGAATTGCCAGCATCACTTCTCTTGTGCTTCGTGGCCATTATTAAGTAAAATGAAGGTTACTTGAACAAAAGCACTGAGATACCGCCGCAGTTCATCCAAGCTGGCTACTAACTGACTAACAGGCAAGAAGTCTGAGATATGACTGTCTGGCGTATCCATGCTGTTTACTATACTTGCCTGTTAGTCACTTAGTATGAGGTCTTGGTTATGAGATTGACTCTCACTGTCGCAATGCTTTTGTTCATGTAACATCTGTTTTACTTAATAATGGTCCCAAAGCCATTCACATGCTTTTAGTACAATATATTATAATTGTTATATTTTATTTATCAGATATTATTATTAATCTCTTACTATGCCTAACTTACATACTACACTTTATGATAGGTACGTGTATATATAGGAAAAAAATGTAGGCATCCCAGTGGAATGCCTTGAGATTTCATCAAGCTACATAGAATTGCCTGCAAAATTCTAAGCCAGTGGGTTCTGTTCCCTTGTTAGCATACATACCTAGGTTATGGGTTCAGTCCCCTGTTGGGGTGCGAATGAGAGGCAACCAGTTGATGTTTCTCTCTCACTTCGATGTTTTTTCCTTCTCTTTAAAGTATGTCCTTGGGTGAGGATAAAAAGGAAAATAGCATACAAAACTTACAGGTTTTTATTTCCAGAATTATACTATATTCAGACTAAAGTATCCATGGATGAAAGGCTACTGTGCTTCACACACAACTTCAGTATTCCACGTAATCGAAGCTTTGCTTTGAGACTGTACATAGGCAAATGTAAAATTTGACGTTGTTAGGTTAGAATATCTGAGGCATGGTATAACTTATTTTAATGCATGTCATCTCATTTGGAGGTGCCCTGTTCTTTTCAGAGTAAAATCATTGACTTTGCTATTACTTGTAACTTTATTACTGAGGGAAAGGATGTATTTTTAGGTAGTAACTTTCCATATCCCCTGGTACTGTCAGATAACATTAAGTTGTGGTTTTATGATTACTGGTAAAAATTGCTAGATGAAAATTTATTCAAATTGTCATTTTCAAAAAATAAAGTTTGTAAGCCTGTTATAATGTTAATATTTTAGTAGTAAATACAGTTTTTAATTTTAAGAAATGTTGCATAAACCAATATTGTAACTTGGAGACAGATAGGAAAATAAAGATGTTGGCTTTGAATTTTTGTGTGTATACATTGCTAAGTAATAAGTAGAATTAATAAGAGAAACATTTTCAGGTGTCCTCATTAAAGAAGAATGTGGGTCAGTTCAGTGGCTTTCCATTTGAAAAAGGAAGTAGCGAATATAAAAAGAAGGAAGAAATGTTGAAAAAGTAAGCTATTTTTATAAATACCATATTTTGATCAGTGTGCTTTAAATTTTAATTTTAAACATTTACCATGACCACCCATACATTTTTAGTAGAATGCTTTTTGCTTTACATGCCAACACCTGATTTGTCTTCATAACTATTAACTTGGTATAGTCATTACTTTCCAGTAGATAGTGGCTGCAAGATTATTGAAAACTCAAGACATTTCTGTTTCTTAGAAGAACGATATACATAGGGAAATTGTTCACAGTCCAAATTTCAGAAGGTCTAAAGGGAATATAATGAAAACTCTCATTTCTGTCCTGTCAGCCACTCTGTTCCTCCATTTATAGGTACCATTTAAGTACCTATAAGCGTTTTAAGATAATTAATTTGATAGGAACAGTATCCTTCCCCAAATTGCAGACAAGATGATATACTAGAGCTTTTGTTTATTAAATTCTCTATAGTTTAAGACCTCTAGATAATAAAGATTATTGTGTATTCACTGAAACATAGTAGGAATGCTGAGGTTGGGGAATGCAGTATTTAGTCACAATCAGCAGACAGAATGATCAAGTTCATGAATGTTACAAAATTGAAAACTTTATATTATTTTCTAGTAATTAATTTAGATATTCTTTTAATACTTTTAGAATTTAATTGGTAAATGGTGTTTTCAATTTTTAAATCTTACTTGGTTGTATTTGTACACTACTCAAAGTTACTAGGGTACTTCTGAGATTCAGAGGAACATTGGGTACTCTTTTAATGTTTGTAGCCTAGATAGTTTGGTTAACTATTGCATTTATATTGGTGGAATATTTATAAACTTCAAAACATAATCACCTTTTTGTTTTCTTTTTCAGATTTAGGAATGCCATGCTAAAAAGCATCTGTGAGGTTCTTGATTTGGAGAGATCAGGTGTAAACAGTGAACTGGTGAAGAGGATCTTGAATTTCTTAATGCATCCAAAGCCATCTGGCAAAGTGAGGACCATATTGTATTATTGTAGTAACAAATCAGTTATTTATAGCCTCTCCTTAGTTTCTCTTTTCTGTGGAACAATTTAGCATTGCTGTCAATTTCAGTAAAATTGTCTGTGTTCAAAGACCATATATGCATTCCATTGACCTATCTTCAAGAGTGTCATGATAGAAATAACATAGAAGGCATATGGATATGTTCTCTGTCATCAGATATAAAGGATATAAGATTAAGAAAAGTAGATTAACTAAATATCAGGTGGGCCAGAAGTACAAACTAACTATCCAGAGTTATGTATCTAGAAGGCACGGGAAGAACAGAAACTAATTGAGTTGAGGATGAGGTGTTGGGCTGGTATGCAGTCTGTAATCAGGTCTTGAAAGATAAGATGGGGGTTTATTAGACTGAATGTTTTCTAGATGCTGAAATACAGTTATGTAAAAGTGACATAGAGCCAACTCTTAATACGTTTCTTGGATTTGGTTTTGAGACTCCTCTGCAGAATCTAGGACTTAGAGATGTAAAATTTCCTTATTGTTCACCGTACTCTTCTTAAAATCTGGATTAGGTTTGCCCTAATTGTTTATTAGTAACAAATAACATCGTTGACTTAAAATGTCTGTTGAAGTGTTACATGACCTTGCATTTTCAGTTTTAAGTCTGTCAGCAAGTATTTTCATATTCTTCCTCATTTTGAAAGGAAAAATTGTGAAGTCATCTAGAGGGCCTAGGGATTCAGGGGAACACTATCAGCAGGGGAAGAGGGCCTAAAGGTTGTAAACCAGAAAATAACTCTGGGCTTTTTTTTTTGTCTGTTCTTGGTCCTGTTTATCAGTATCTAGACAAGGACAGATAAGTAATATTTGTATCATATAGCTACAAATGTAAGGGTTACAGTGATTTTTCAAGGGGTTTTTTTCCAGTTGGCTTACTTAAAAATGAGGTATTATCAAGATACTATCTTGATGTTTTTTATGCTTTTACTATAGCTAAACCTCTGCTGCTTCAGAATTTTATTTGACAAGTTGAACACTTTCCCCAGAAGCAATTGCTAAGTTTCCAAAGTCATGAACAATATTTTTACATTTTCCTGGTTTTCAAATGTGTTGGTTTGAGAACTCTACTACTCTCTTAAAAATGAATGAGGACTCTGAGAGCTTTTGTTTACATGGGCTATTCTGATATATTCTGTATTCTAAGTTCAAACTAAAAAACTTCTCAGCAGAATGTCCGTTGCATGGAAACAAAAGTAATATTTTGTATGAAATCTGTTCATGTCTGACTTAAGATAGGTATATTCTCATTTGCTTCTGCATTTTAATTTGTTGTGATGTATTGCTTTGCTTGAAGTATATCAAGAAAACCCAGCCTCTCAAAGTTATGTACCATATTTTGCCTTCTATAATATGCACTTTTTGCCCAAATTTTTTTAAAGAAACGAAAGGATGCGTATTATCCATGGGGACAATGATTACATGCCATGGGACAATAATGGGCATAATAATCCTGTGTCTAATGTATACAAAATGCGGGTACGCATTATACACAGCAAAATATGATAGTTAAGAAAAGGAGTATTTTAAAAACCTTAAAAAGTTGTGGGTATTCTCCTTTAATGTAACATCAAAACTTCTCAGTGGTAGTTTCTTAAAGGTTAGTTGTAATGTGGCATGTGATACCATGTTAATGAACTTGGACCGTTTTCCCGTATGCATGATTTTTAATATGCATTCATCATTTGGGAAATATCGGTTCCCTGAATTATGCATATCTTCCAAATGTTGGCACATTCATTTCATTAAACACTGTTGGTGAGTCACATTCATTAATACAACACCATCTCACCTGAAAAATCTTCAGGTATTGCAAGGCTGTTAGGTTCATGATAGTAGAAATTAATTTTCCAAAATTCTTAATTTTCCCTTGAATTTTGAAATTTATCATTGGTAATAAATAGGCAGTTATTTTCCTTGATCTGACAGGATCATACTTTTCATTTTTGAGAATATATCTGTCAAATATCTAAGTCCAAATAGGCATAGTTTTTCAATTATTCTTTTTAACAGTATTCCATGAAAAAAGTAGCTAGCTTAGGTCACATCTCAGTAGCACAAGTGTATTTCCTTGAGAAAACCAGTGAACTTCAGTTCGTACAGAAGTACTTCATGTTTGTTGTACCTCCCATTTTATTAGGTATTCTAAGGACATAGATCCCAAAGTTTGCATTTAAAATAGTTAATATTTACTGCTTCATCAAAAAAGTGAAACACCTTTTTTTCCCTGCTAGTGTGTGATGGTGATGAATATAATAACTACTACTAGCACATTGTGCTGCCCTGCTTTGATTAGTAAATACACTAAGGTGCCAGCAGTTTTACCTACCCTTGCTTTTATATAATCAGTGTAAGTGTCAACACTGTGAAAGAGCAAATAAATGTTTTGGTATTATGAAAATAGTTTTGACCTGGTAGGTTTCTGAAAAGTTCTCAGGAAACCCCAGGGTCCATGAACCACACTTTGAGAATGACTGTTTTATCCTTCCTTATAGAATCTTAACTTTTCATATTAGGTTCTGATTACACTTAATTGAATGGTATCTTAAGCTGTTTTTTATGCTACCATATACTTCATCTCTTAAGGAAACACTACACTCATTAGTACTAATTTTTTCTCCTGTATAATCTTAATATTGTTGAATTAATGTTATTTTACTATTCTTTTGTGTTTCTACTTTGATTATTTGTTAATGAGATTTTGTTTACAAAGTGGGATGGTACTGTGACCCTGGATTCATATTAATAGATTAAACTAATTTTAAAACGAATGTAGGAAAGTTCTAAAGCACTTATATGTTAGTATTTTTTTAAGTAAAAGCTTATTTATTTTTGGAAGTTGCATTTTCTTGATTGGTTACTTGAATGATTTAAAAGCTTTTATTTTCCTGTGTAGATTTATTTAGTACCCATTCCAGTCCTCATATTACTAATTTCATATACCGATTATATTCTCACTACCTGATCATTTGGTTCCTGAGCTGAGGAAAGTGAGGGTTGTCATATTTTTCTAAAAACATTTGAACCCTGGATTTCATATGTGCAAGTGAGTAGTGCAAGTTTAGACAGTGAAAGTTACCTTTTCTCCAAACAGGCATATCAGAGACTTTATCTAAATGTATTTGTTTTCTGGTAATGGTAATAGTTCATGTAACAAGGATATCTGTATTCATTCAGGAAAGTTTCTTTACAAAATCTCTCTGGCAAATATCTTTGGTCCACTAACTTAAAATTTCTGGAGTAACCTAGATTGGCTATTTTCCAGTCTGTTCTGAAAAGGGTAGGTAGGTTGTTTGGGCAAATTAGGCTGTTCTGTAGATTGTAGATTGCCTGGGAGTACTACATTACACAAGCAGCCATTTTTTCGTAATTGTTATGCAGGTGACAGTGACCTCTACAACTGGAAATTTTTGAAAGAAGGGACCTGTGGTTCTGCTAGTTTCATAAAAACTATTGCCTAAAGTTATCACTAACATTCGTACAATTGTGCATCTCAAGGTTATATTATGGGATTTTTCTTAATGGTACTGTTGACTGCAGAAAATAATAGGCAAAAATAAAAATACTCATAATTTCAGAAATAAGTAATTTTAACTCCTTAGTGTATATCTCTTTAGATTCTTTATGTAGGGTTATTTTATGGTTTTCAGTTTTAGAAGTTAGTAAATTCTCCCCAAAGAAAGCACTTAAAAATTAAATTTGTTGTTTTACATTATCATTTACCTCACATGATGTATTCTGCTTTTTAAATGTTTTAATCATCAAAGTAAGAACAATGTATTTGTTTTATGGTTCTTAGTTTCATAATTAACATACTTAGTACTTCCTGCATGTTTCCAATCATCAGTAAGAATGTAATGCTGACATTGAAAGCAGAGCTCAGAGGTAATATGAATATAAAACTATATAGCTCATAAAATTCCGAATATGTACGGTGAGATTTTATTTACTTTATGGATGGTCGTTCCCAGCCCTTTGGAGGATCCCCGTAAAACAAGAACCTTCTCCGGCAGTGGTTAATGTTTATAGAAATGAAATAAGTTATAAGTCTAATTTAGAATATCTCGATAAAGTGTAAACAAGTGTCTGAGCTTAACACAGTATGTACTTGGGCTTCTAGTCCCATGTCAAAACATAGAATGTTTATTTAAACATTGGCGAGGTGTCTCTTGCCTAGGTGTTTAGAACACAAGTGAAAGGGTGGTTGAGGCAAAAAGATTAATGACACATTAAGTTAAAAATGAATTATTCTCTAAAGCCGCTAAGCTTGGAAATAGCTTGAGATAAGAACAAGAAAAACTGAGTTAAAGTAGGTTTCATAAACAGTTGATTGACTTGGAAATATAATACCTCATTGGGACTTTATTTTATGCAGCCATTGCCAAAATCTAAAAAAACTTCTAGCAAAGGCAGCAAAAAGGAACGGAACAGTTCTGGAATGTCAAGGAAAGCAAAGCGAACCAAATGTCCTGAAATTCTGTCAGACGAGTCTAGCAGTGATGAAGATGAAAAGAAAAATAAGGAAGAGTCTTCAGAGGATGAAGATAAGGAAAGTGAAGAGGAGGTAAACCTGTTTTTTTTCCCCCCTCATTTCTTTTCCTGGGCAGAGTTAAATATTCCTGCTATGTCAAAAGTATAGCCAGAAAACAGATTGTAGGAACTACCAGTACCATATTGGTTGTTTTTAATTCTGAAGACAGGTAAATAGTTATATATAAACCCTTTCTTTCCCCTAATAAGCTTTTAGTTTTATTGTTGTGCCAGAGTGTAAAAGTTGGAAGACTGAGGTTTGTGTGGACTGGATTTGAACTGAGTGTTGACTAGAGTAGGTCAAATGGCAAGGGAAGGGACTGGGAGAGTGGCTCATATCCTGAACAGGAACACAAAGGAACAGATTTTTAAAGAATTTCTTTATAGTGTATTAATATAATATGATGGTCTTGAACCATTTTATTGTTTTATACAAAAAGCAAGGGCTTTAAGGACCATCATTTTTCCCCTCAATTTGTTGGGGATTAATTAATGAGAATAAGAACATTTGAAGTTTAATTGGTGGGCAAGTTTTGTATCACTTAAAAGCCTGCGATTTTCCTTTATTTGAAAATCTTTGTTAAATGTTGAATATTTAGTTTTAAAAGGGAAACTTCAGGAAGGGAAGAACTGCTGAACCATTTAGAGGGTTAACTTTATATCCTTTCCTTGTTTTGTGTCTTCAGTCAAGTACGTGGTGAATGGCTACAAGGAAATGATTTCCTGTTGTTAATAGTGGTTTGGTAGACTCAATATTAAATTTGTTTTATTGCCCTTCATTGGTCAGAACTTGTCGTATAATTTGGGTAATGTACTTTTAGGACTTGATTAATGTGAGTTGACATTTTGGGCTAAAATGTCAAGACTCTTCATTGTGGATGGCCGTCTTGTGCTGTGTATAATGTTTGCCCACTAGAGGCCAGTAGCACACTTCCCCAGCCTCCAGTTGTGAAAACCAAAGATGTCTCCCAACATTGTCAAATGTGTCCTGGGGGACAAAATGACTTCCAGTTGATAACCTCTAGAGTAGAGGGAATAAAGATGTGGTGAACTCTGGTGTTATATGTATTAAGTATGTATTTTGTTTATATTTGTCCCTAGGTATTTAAATCCATGCATGTTTTAATGTCAGATTTTTATAAAGACTTTAGTAAAGCTAAATTTGAAGTGCTTCCTAATTGAAAGAATATTACAAATGTAGAAGGTAGTTCATAAATATTTTAATATATTTTTGGTGTAAAAGAAATATGAATAATCTCAGTACTATGGGTTTTGTTTTGTTTTTAAATTTTGGTTATTTCTAAAGAGAGATGGGAAGGGAGGGAGAAAAAGAGGAAGAGAAACATCCATCAGCTGTCTCTCACACGCCCCCAAACCAGGGCCCTGCCAGCAATCCAGGCATGTGCCCTGACTGAGAATTGAACTGGCGACCTCTTGGTTCTCAGGCCAGTGCTCAACTCACTGAGCCACACCAACCAGAGCTGAGCACTAAGGTTTTTATGAAATAGATTTTAAGACCATACGGGAGGAAAATATGTTTGTTCATACATGAATATGCAGTAGTAGTAATTGTGTAGTAATAGTATTATTTCTCATTCAACAAAATTCTGGTTATCTACTGTGAGTATTCACCATACTCCCTTTAAAACCCTTTTAAAGGCAGATTTTAAAGCATGGAAAGTTATCATAGAATATAAACATCTGATTTTTTTCATAGAGGCAGTATGCTTATGAGCATGGGCTTTTGGAAACTATCTGAATTCAAATCCAGCTGTACCTTTGTATGACTTTGGGCAAGTTACTTAAACTCTGTAACATCAGATTTCCTGTTGTAAAATGGGGATAATAATAGCAGTCTCAAGTGATTGTACTAAGTGACTTTATGTAAAGCACTTAGAGCAGTGCTTGGTGTAAGTACTAAGTATTAACTGCTATTCTTAGTATTTGGCTGACCTTTTACCATACATAGGATTTCTAAATCTAATTTTCCTGTTATTACTGAAGTGCAGGAAGATTGAATTTAGAAAGATGATTCATTTTCTTATATTCCAGATTATTGTTTCATTGTTAGAAGTAGAAGTAGTAGAAGTCTGAATATAGATATTCCCTGATTTATAACCACATTGGTTAATTGATCACAAGTGAAACTGTTTCATGGTATATGAAACATATACAGTGCTCCATCTTTCTACAGTGCCATAAATGAGGAGCTTTTGGTAGAAACCCAGATCAAATGATGAAAATACATAGAGGAAAAAACAAACAAAAATGCTTTTATGGACATTAAGTATATAAAGTCACACAATATAAAAACTGTATTATGTACTCTTATTTTCTGCTTCATTTTTTTCGCTTGGGCTGATAGAGGCTGACTTCATAAAATACAATGCCAGCAAAATCTGGTCTGAGAAATGACTTCACACCCTCCAAATAAATCTCCTTCCAATCAGTATAGGTATTTTTTAAAGCTCTAAAGGCTTTCAAATTTAGGGCTCGCCTTCCTCAAAAACTTGACTGCTGATTCCATTTCTGTGAAAAGCTCTGATTGCCTTTGGAAGGAAAGTAAGTGCCAGCAGGAGGAGCAGTATTTCTATGATAACTGTTCTTGTTTTTGCTTCCATTTTTTGAGGTCTTGGTTAAGTGAAGCCTTGTTAGGGACTTCATAAATGGAGGTATTTGGGTCATGACCATGAAAAGACCTCTTTTCTAAGAGACCAGAAAAGAGTTGCAGGCTGATTGGAAAAAAGGTAGATTGCCTGTAGATGAAGTTTTTTGCAGATTTTTTTTGGTAGAAAATTACTAAGTTAGTATTATTTATTCTGTTTATTTCCTGGAGTAAATTTTTCTTTCATAAATAAAAACACTTTTCTCTACTAAGATCAGTTTCATATTCTATTTCAAGTTCTTGGAGTAAATAGAAACTTTAAGTAAATGAAGATGAAGTTTTCCTTTTTTTTTTAAAGTCTTTTATAAGCAAATGTCACATTAACATGTCAGCCAATAATTGCTAAGACATTTTGTTCAAAGTCCTCTATACCTATACAGTGATCCCTCATCTATCTGGGAGTTATGTTCCAGAGACCCCTGCAGTAGGTGAAAATCCTCGAAATAGTGGCATCGTATTAGTTTTATTTTTTTAAGATTTTATTTATTTATTTTAGAGAGATGGGGAAGGGAGAGAGAAACAAAGGGAGTGAAACATCAATGTGTGGTTGCCTCTAGCATACCCCATACTGGGAATATGGCCTGCAACCCAGGCATGTGCCCTGGCTGGAATCAAACCAGTGATGCTTTGGTTCACAGGCCTGTGCTCAATCCACTAAGCTACACCAGCCAGGGCCATATTTTATTATTTATATAAATTTTAAGGCTTTATAAACCCTTCCCACACTCCTATAAACCTTTACCACTCTCTTACTAATCTTTCCCACACTCTTATAAACACTTCATATGCTGTTAAACACTTTCTACACTATTAAACCTACATAATTTTAACCACATAAAATTCTATATGGGTACTCACCAGTGAAGTATACTACAACTTAAATGATGAAGATCATGAATTGTGTAGCTGTGCAGTACTGTTGGTGTTGAAGGTGATGATGATGAATGTACTGTACAGCCAAGAAGAGCATTACAGCTCTTCTGAAGGCACCACTTCATCAGGCGCTTCAGCAGGTGGTGTAGTACCTTATCCTGGGGCTGTAACTTCTATTTCCAATAAAGGCGTAGGCGTAACTGATCTCTTTGTCCAAGTGTGATGAACATAGTTATGGTGAGTTGCTGGCGCTGCTTTTCCTTCTGAGTGAGAAGGTTTTTATAAACTGACATGCCACTCTCAATTGTATTTACGAAGTGCAGCAAAGTGTCTGGGGGTCCCATTTTTCAGCTACTCGGTGGAGTTCTTTGGCCATTCTGACCACGGTTGCAAGACAATGGAGTGTTAGGCCAGGCTTCTCTTCTCCAACCCATAGTTCATCTTGTTCCTCATCCTCTTCTTCACTTGCTGACATCGTCATCTCTGTCAGGTCTTCGTCGGTCAACAGTTGTGAGTGGACATTGATCAGGTCATTTGTGCTGTCAGGAGTCATATCATTGAAGCCATCTCTTCCCAGTAGTTTTGCCCACTTCGCGGCCTTAGCTTCCACAGTGGCAACTTCTCCATGCAGAGAAACGCTGTTGAGTCCAAAGTATGTCTGAAATTTGCCAAACCAGCTTTTGCTGGCACTGAATGGGGTTGGTCTGGTGGGAGAAGCACTCAAAGGCCCGGCTTCTGCGTTGTCCTCATCACCATCATGAACATCTGATCTTTGCTTTCCTCAAAACTATCATAAAGTGTCTTGGCCTTTGTCTGGATGGTGTTGGTATCCAGCAAGATATTCTTCTTCCGCAGTCATTTATCCACAGGCCAATGCAGACTCCATCCTCACAGTGGCCTTATTATGGGAAGTGACCACCCTCTGCAGTCTTGTTAAAAGTTATTGTTGCCATGGACCTAATATTATTTTCGTCTTTATGTAGTTAACAATAGATTCACTGATCCTGTAATCACGGCCTACAGCCACATAGCTTTTGCCTTCCTTTAACATGTCAAGAAGTTCCATCTTTTCTTTGATGGTAAGCATATTCCTGTGGCACTTGGGTTCACTGCCAGAAACCTTAAAAGGTGCAGAACATTTGGGTGGCGTTGTAGGTCTTAAAATAAATTCAGACTTTTACGAAAGTTTCACAAAAACACAACACTGCAGAGCAACACTACACACAGCGATCAGACATCAATGTGAAGTGGATAAGGAGGAATGCTGAATGTATGGGCACAGTGCAGGAGAGCAAAGAGACCAATGCTACGGTCACTAAACCAGTCAGTGCCCAGGATACAGAACACAGTGCTGTGGTTGGTTGCCTTCCATTCCATCAGCCAGTAGTGTGCCGTGTACAATCTCATGTTGGCAAACTTGCACAAGCAGTAGTGGTGTACTGCATTTCCATTGTGTATAGAACTGTTTTGTACACATACTGTATTTTATTTTGATT